CAGGGGGCAAAAGCCCCCAGACAACATAGCCCCTGGGATCCCTGGGACACACAAACCCCTCCACCACGATAAGGTTGCGATTCACGGAGGAATGTGCTTTATTTTTATGTTTTTTTGCCGATGCCGCCCCCCACCACGATGCCGCCCCGGGCAATCGCCCGTGTCGTCCGTATCAAAAACCGCTACTGGTCGAAACATTATACTTTGGGATTGTTTACAGCACTGAGGTGCCAATGGATGGGGCTAAGTACCATAAATTGGATAATGACCTTCTTTCCTCAGGCAGAACACTAAAGAATGAGTGCACCAGCATGCAAATGATCCAAAACATTGTACCAAGGCAACAAAGGAGTAGCTAAAGAAAAAGTACATTAACTGGTTGAGCGAGTCTACTGACCTAATTTGCCAAACAACTGCCAAGACACTTGAAGGATTTAGAAACTTTAAAGAGGAGTGGGCCAAAATCCTTACTGAGATTTGTGTAAACCTGGTGACCAACTACTAGACATGTCCTACTGTCTTTTTCCATTAACAACTGAGTCATGTGCTTGAGGATCAGTGGTCAATAGCCACACTCAATGAACTCAATTTAACACTTTCATGAAATGTGGAGTTTTTTCTGGATCTTTTGATATTTCGATATTTTGATATTTTTTCTCTCCATCAAAATCAAACTACCAAAATTAAATTAAATTATATACTTATCACTTATTTGTAAGTAAGAAAACTTACCTGTTTAGCTGGAGAACAGATCGCTATTTCATCCCTACTGTCTGGTTTCTTTGCATGATTGAACTTGATCCGGAAAATATTGAGTACACTGTTAACTGTCTTCAGAGACAATAATTTCTGGAAGTGTTCTCAAATATGGGAAAGCACCTTTATTATTGTTTATCTGTCATCCTTGGCATTTGTCAACTAACTAAACATTTACTTAATAGCTTATTTAAAAAAGTTGCAGTAAAGAATAATGTACTTTCTGTGCAGAGGAAGACATACAACAAAGCAACAGGCAGTGCTAGTACTTTATCAAAAACAGTACCTGCTAGTGATGGTAAATTTAATTCTTTTTACTGAATCGAGTTTTAATGAGTCACTCACCAAAGTGAATCGGGTTTTTTGAGTCATTTGATTCACTGAGTCAGTTGACCAGAGAGTGCAAAAAATTTACATTTTCACTCAAACTTAATTTGTTTCTCTTTTCATGTAAATCCCA